ATGTTGCCGCCGATGCCGGTCGAGCACGACAGAATCGTCGCGAAGAACTCATGAGTGTAAAAGGGTTTCCACTGAATTGCCTAGTTCTACGCTTCCCAGCTATACACAAAAACTAGTGTTCTTTTGCACACTTCCATGAAAAGGTGACCATGTGATCAATCCTCGCAAGTCCCTCCTCCTCATCTTTTTATCTTACAATCTCCATCTATGTAAGGCTTCACTAAAAAATTCACTTTCTTTAAAGAACTTCTTCATGTAACCGTGATAGCTTCTGCGTTACGCCGTTATGGTAACTACCAAATAACATCAAACCGCTTCGAGAACCATTTGAACAGTATTTGCCCGAGAGAACAAAGTTCTTTTTTCGAAGTTCCTTTGAACAAGTGCATCAAAGGCATATAAAACAAGAGGAAGAAGGAGAGAGGAAGAGATTAACCTTGCAGTTCGGATGATGAATGAAGCATTGAGCGGTGGCTCTTTTTAATCGATTTTTTTTCATTACTATTTGATTCCACTAACGCTTTGCTATAGTGTGTACTATGCTTTCACAAATGAAACTTGTTTGAATGAAAGTATAGTCGTGGTTGGTTTTCATAGTTAAGTCCGAAGAAGTAAATAAGTATTCTGAGAACTCTCATTCTCAAACCTAACACTTCATGGCACTGCCATATAATTAATTTTTTTCCAAAATGGTTCCTTTATATACTATATACTCACAACATACTTTTACCTAAGCCATTTAAATATTAGATTAAACGATCAGAAACTTGAGAAAATACACCTGATTTAGGTAAATCATGTAGCAGATCGATCAGCAAGAAGGAAGCTTTGTACTTTTATAGAGTTTGACCAGGTTTCTCAAGATTAAATACATTTTTAACGCAATTTTCTCATTTGGAGCTTGTAAAAAGAATATCCAAGTGAGAACCCAAATGACCAATAGCAGGCGCTTAAATTAACGCAGAACTAGAATATTACAATTTTCTATAAATTAGTTTATGTACATGTATTTACAGCATCAATGAAACAATGAATAGGTGTTTCTTCTAGGGCACTGATAAGATGAACTTGTCGAGGTCCATTAGCCATGTAGTCTTCACCGACACCAGCTAGGTCCTGAAACAAAAAACTTGAGAAGGAGTGCTAGCATTCTTCATTGAAAGTAGCGAAAAAGTCTACTTTTTACACAAATAACTTATAAGTAGCTACTACTGTTGTAAAGATACTTCCCTTTTATAGCATGATGCATAAACATACGCTGCACAAATACTGTAATCACATTATAGACTCTTTAAAACCTCTTCTCACCTCAAACACGTGCCGTAAAAGACCTCCACTGGCACTAATTCTACAACTTGTTTGATTTGTGCTACCGTCAAGGAAACTCTGTAAAAAGGTAATTTCAATCACTTACTGATTGACTGAAAGTCGGTACATTACCTTGATGTACTCCCTTACTATGACAAGACATTCTTCCCGTAATCGATCGCATGTTAGGCAAAGAGAAGGAACTGCTGAGGATAATAGGGTAATGAAGTCGGCTGGCAGGATATCACCACAGAACCAGATATCCTTGACGTTGAGTAGGTGCCCAGGAGGGATGAGAGGTTCTCTTGAAACATAACTTTTTTCAATTCACGCATGTAACAATAAGTGGGTAACTTACGAAGCCTCGTTAAACGACAACTCATGCATGTATAGGGTAGCTCCAGGGTTATATGAGATTCGACCGAGTATTTTTTGGGCTTCCACACGGCTTTCGTACTTCAAACTTAATTGATCAGTTCTTATTGAAGTCAGCACCTCCTCGACCTCATTGGACACAATAGCACAATCGAACTATGAATACAGGAGATGACTTTGACGGCAATCACAACAAAATTAGGGCTATTAGCTAACCTGGGTAACATCTAAACAAGTAACATGCATTAAATGGTATGGTACGTGTTTCCTGATTGCTCCTCGCAACTCCGTCCATTGCTCTTGCAGCATATTCATTTTTAAGTTGTCCTAAATGAGATTATTGTTTGTAGCTAAAAAGGTGATGCACTACATCCTTAAAATTCCATACCTGCAAGGCTTTGTCTTCCGAGATATCTGTTTTCGATTTGGCTATGGAGATAAATGCCATGCTGGTATACTGCGGAAGTATCCTCTGGAAATGTGATTATTTGTTTGACAAAAAACTGTAAGATATCCTTTCATAAATCAAAAATGCTGCTTTATATCCCAAAAAAGTCAAATAAACGCCCAAAATCCATATTTGCTAAGCTCATCTAATTAAACAATGACCTGTTATGATAAA